TGCGTGGAAAGTGCTTTTATAAGAAAGCAGAAAGCTGTCTCAGTCGTCATTCACAAGACAAAGTACCTGGCAAATATAGAAGGTGGATGCGCTACAGATGGGGATGGACAACGTATGGTGCTTACACGTACTGATAAATCTGCAGGTTAGTAAAAGCATCTCGATGAGTCGGGTTGGTATTCACACACGAAGGTAGGTTGCATCTGGCTGAGTCAGAGTAATAGGAAGAATATGTAGAATATTGTGAGCTGCTGTTTGTCCATTTCTGGAGAAAGCGTTAGACTGGGAGATGACAATAACAGGATCGTGCAGTTAAGTAAAACTGTTGGAAATGTAGATAACGCGTGTAGAGGTTCTTAGCAGGCTTGCTAGCAATGATTAGACGTGCTTGTAGCAGTTGTCCTTCTAAATCGTTTCTATTCTCCAGACGGGCCCTCTTCTCTTTATCTCAGCGATTTCCATTTATCTCAGAAAGAGCTATCTTTCTCCTGCCCTTACAGGACTCTTCCCGGTGGGTTTCTTTTCTTCACCCTGCTGTCATTCCGTTGTACAGGGGCTCATTTTATATCTTAGCGGGATCAATTTATATTCCATTTAACTCTTGGAAACAGAAGTCGTCATGTTTAAGTAGTTGTGCGCCTCTCAGTGCCTCACATATTCCGTCAGATGTTTATGTTTGCTTTATTACTGGACAAGTTGTTGCTTTTGAGAAGAGGACACCCTCTTGATTTGACGGAGCCTGACGTGCTAGGTGTGCTTAGGGAACACGTCAGCCGCTGTTAGTGTTCAAGAACAGAGCTCAGTACGAAATCGGAGGAAGGAAGGAAGGAAGACCTCTGCTTTTCAGGTGAAGCGTGCATTACTGGAGCTCCAAACTCCATCCTCCTTTTTCAGATGCTCTGCTCCTAGTTGTTGAGAATTAAGTGCCTGTTCCCTCCCCAGTGTGGGCAGAAGGCAAACAAAGATGTTTTTCCTCCTCCAACGGCGAAGGAGAACAGATTTGTCTAGGAGCTACCATTCCAACACATCAGTGGTCAGTGCAACGACGATCTGTCAAATAAAGCATCTTACTCTTCTGGGTTTTGTTTCTTTGTTTTTAAAAGATAGGCTCTTGGCTGACTGTAAGTGAACAGGCAATAATGATAAGCTATAGTAAGTATAAGCTTTCAAAGGAGGAGGGCATATTTCACGTTAAGCAGCGGATTTGGGTAAATGATTGATGTGCTTCTTCCGCAGATCAGGAATCAACAGCACTGCCCGAAAAATGGGACGACATGCAAAATCAGCAGCTCAAAACAGCGGAATTGAAACCAGATGCAAAAGACTACAAGCAAGTGAAGGAAAGGTTTCTGAAGACCGCTCCATCACTGAATCTGAAAATTGAAAAGGTAAAAGCGTGTAATCTTTTATAAGCATACATACAGCTAATGAATAACGACTGGTAAACAGTGGAAAAACTAAATTCCATTGGAATTTGTTGGACAGGTCTTTACAGCAAAAGAAAGGGACACAGTTTTTCCTAATTGACTTAAAAGTTTGTATGTGTGTGTGTGTGTGTGTATTTAAGTCACTATCTGAAAAGGTTGCACAAAACCGTCAATAACCACCCAGTTGTCGAGTGCCTGTGATCCTCATGACCTTCAAACCTGGTGTAAAATATCTCTGCCCCCAGTAAGAAACTGCTTATGAAATCAAGTTTTATGATGCTGTGAAAACGCAGATACGGCAGTTTCAGTCAAAGTGCCCGTGGGTATCGTCTGTGTTCATGCAGCTGCCATGCCCTCTGCAGCGGGAAGGGCCACAGAACCAGGTACCGGATCAGGTAGCAAAGGTCAGCAAGCAGAGGGGATTCGCTGTCCAGAAACCAATTTTAAACAATTTGCCAGTGAAGGTTGTTACTAGCGATGTCTTCAAGAACATTTGTTCTGTCTCAGCAGCGTGGACTGCTCACTTGTGGCAGTGCAGAGGCGTATACCGGATTGCTTGCTAACTCGCCACTCCTCAGTGGGGTAGCTCTGATTTGAGCTGGTTTGGTTATATGAAGCCAGTTGTGATATCATCTAGTTCCCCAGTACATTTTTCAGGCTCAAGCTGTTAGTTTCATGCATTAGCTCCTCCTGGAGTGACAGGGGACTAAGTACATCTGCACATAAGCAGTTCTTCTTCAGAGCAACCAAGTACTCAACAGTCAAGTTGCATGAGAATTTATTTAGGATGTTCCCCCAAAGACCAGGAGATTAGTGACAGCAATAATGTCTGTTGAACTGATTTTAAATTGGCATCAATTCGATGCAGCAGTTGCTTCTAAGGCACCTGGTGAGCGCGCTCTTTTCTTCAGCAGAGCAGAAAGTTTTCTCCCTTAAGCCACGTGTGCTCAGCAGGTGGATGTTTTGCGTATGACCCAGAAGCCTATCTCACAGAGCAAGACTATCTCTTGTAGTTTTCTATGGATTGCTTCTGTTGCATTCTGGGTCGGGTTCTGCTGTTTCATTCTGCTGAAATCTGGAGCCACGTGCCCAACGTATTTTATGATCTAGTGTCCACGTGTCGGTAGCTGGGAGGAGAATCTTGGGACACTGAATGGTTGATACTCGGATGTCTTTCTTAACAAGAAAAACTGAATGTCTTATTTTCAAACTTTGCAGATTGAAAGGGCCCAGAACCCATCTTTGTGGAAAGTCTACGGAATAAAAAAGTGTCAGATGGACGACAAAAACAGCGACAACAGCAATGAGAAGTTTCCGTCCCGTGGGGCAAGCGCAGAGTCGTTAACCTTCATTAGCAACTGTGGATTTAACCGCAGCTATGCTGGAATGCACGGTAACGTCCGTTTCAGAAGTACTCGTTTTCCTCGAGGGGGCTAGGAATAATTTGCCATGCTATCCGTGTAGTCCTGACGTGTGTGCCAAACTGTTAAATCTCTCTGTTGCAAACAAAAACCAAAATTGCCACCTCCAGAGCTTGCGGATATCTTGGGAGTGGTTGCTGTTAATTAATTTGTGTTTGTTTGCTTTGGCCTACAGCTGCACCGTATGAAAATGGAACTTACTTGGCTGTTCACGCCAGCTATTCTGCTGGCGACGTCTACTCAAAACCAGATGCAAACGTGGAGCGGGTTCACCTGCAAACAACCGGAAGAGCGGAGATACAGACCTTCTGGACACAAGTTCTCATGTAATACTCATTCAGAGTAAGTGTACAAGGACAGTGGCAAAGGACACTGTGGAAATGATGACAGAGTAAATGTAATGTCACCGAGTGCCTCCGCTACAGCGTTCTCCAGCAAGTTCCAAACCGCTTCTTGGATGTACAACCACTTAGGACAATTCAATGCTGCGATGGCAAATTTGAAATAAATTTAATATCAACAGATGCTAGAAATCCAATTATTGTTGTCCAGTTACTATTATATGTGTATTGTTGAGTAAGTTAGCTCATAGCTTCTAGTTTTGTGTCTTTCTTGTAAGGAAATCGGCAAAGGATTGAAGGAAAAAAAGGTATATTCCCATCCTGTCAGTATTTAGAGGTAACTAAGGAAAAGGAAGACTGCTCCGTAAGTTTCCTTTTGTGACTCCAAATTGTCCCTTATGTCCCGAGACTAACACCTTACTGCCTCCAGATTGAGCGCCTCGCTGTAACTAGGGAAAGAAAAAGAAAAAAAGAAAAAAATGCCCTTTCTGAAATAATCTTTGAGATTTGTGC